AAAGCCATATAACCAGCTAACCCAAAACGCAAAGACTTACAACAAAAAATATTTATTTCTCAATTAGGAGTTTATGGTCTTTTGGGGCTGCTGTGCTTCAGGCTGCATTTGTAGATCGGCTGGGGTGAAAAGGTAGATGCTTCACATCTTTCCTTTTAACTGGACCAGTGGGCTTTGTTAGGCGTGTTTTTCTCGTGACACCCTAAAGAGTAAGCCCAACCAGGTATGTATTTTAGGCCTCTGCTTATTGCTTGTCTCTTCCATTAGCCAAATCAAGTCATACGGCTGAGCCCAAAGTCAAGGGTCAGGGAAGTACCTTCTAGCTGTAGTGGGAGGAGCTGCAAAGTCACATAGAAGAATGAAGAGTTGGGAAATATAATGTAATGAACTACACATAAGTAGTCATCTGGGCCTACTCCCTAATATTTTGTGAAGACTTGGGATTAGGGCATGAAAGGAGGTCCATTCCCTTTCTCTTTCTATTACCTGACTCCATTCAGCATTTGGGAGCAACACATGTCAAGCCATGGATAGAGATCAGGTAAATAGTGGCTGGAAAATACCCCTGGATTTGGCAATTAGAAAGTTTAAGATCACCTGTGAAAAGCTGATTTCTGGGAGTGGTCCTAGTGAAGACATTAGGAACAAGTGGTAGGTTAGGAGACAGGGTGAGTATAAAATGCATTTCCAAGTAACGAAGGGAATGAAAGGGACTGGAATAGCTCAGAGAAGCAAGGTTAGGGGGAAGGATTTTTTATTTTAATATTTTTCTCAGCTTTATTGAGATATAATTGATTTATAACATCATGTAAATTTAAGGTATACAAACTGAATATTTGGTTCATTTATGTATTACAAAATAATTACCACAATAGCTTTAAGTAATGTCTCCATCACATCATATATTTACCATTTCTTTGTGGTGAGAACATTTAAGATCTACTCTCTTAGCAACTTCCAAGTATGTAATACAGTAAGTATTATTAGTTAATACTATGCTGTACATACTCAGAATTTACTCATAACTGGAAGTTTGTACCCTTTGACTAACATCTCCCCATTTCTCCCATCCCGCAATCCCTGGTAAACTCCACTCTACTGTTTTTTGTGAGTTTGGCCTTTTTAGATTCCACCAGAAGTGATATCATACATTATGTCTTTCTCTGACTTATTTCTCTTAGTTTAGTGTCTTCAAGTTTAATTATGTTGTTGCAAATTCCAGGATCTCGTTCTTTTTCGTGGCTGAATAATATTCATCCATCTATATATCTGTCTATCTATCTACCTACCTTTCTATCTCATATCTCCTCTTCCCATTCATCTGTTGTTGAACATTTAGGTTGTTTCCAGCCACCCTCAGGGCCCAAATGATACTGAGTAACACAAATGTGCAGTGGTGCTAGTTACCATGGTTATGGTCCTCTTTCTCCATTATGATAGAAGGGGAAGAAACTGGCAATGTAGGTATGGTGATGATGAAAATGTAAGAGGAAGCTAAAGAGTTAGAGAAGGCCTAGTCAGATTAATGGCTCATGAGTGTGCATGCAGTCCTAAGCAGCTAACATTTATTCTGCAAGTTCTGTGCTGGGCCCCTTACACTAATTACTTCTATTTCTTACAACTGCCTAAGATATATATTATAAACACCAATTTATATATAAGAAAACTGCAGCTTAATGATGCCACGTAACATCCAAAGTCACCTGCTGATTAATGGAGAAACCAGGAGTCAAACTCAGGTCTCTCTGAATTGGGTAGAAAAATATAATCCAGGATGAAAAGGAAAAGATGCCAATAGATTACATGGAAATAAGAGGTGAAGATTGTAATTAGAATAATGCATGGGTCCCAGAGAAATTAGGCAGAGGAAGAGGTGTATGAAAAAAGGCAAAGAGAGAAATTTCAGAGTTTGTAGTCTTTGGGGTAAAGCAGCATTTATAGACTGGTAGGGGAAAAGTGTGGCCATTCATATATGTATCGCCTGTGTGGCATGAGGAACTTGGCTAGAATAGTTGGGATACGTGAGGCTAGGGTGTTAGCTGGGTTATCCAGCTTAATGTTGAAGAGCCTCAGGATGATGGCAGAGAATAGGGTGGAGAGGAAAACTGTGAGCCAAGTGGTGAAATTTCTGAGGAATACGATGAGCATTAGCAGATGACCACAGCATAACCTTATGACCCAGATTTCAAAGAGGAATTGAGGAACTAGGGTGTTGGAATAACAGTTTAGAAGTGGCAATGGGGAGTAGTGAGAATGTTGACATTATAGATCTACAGATGCAGGAGAAGGGAAAATCAGTTCATTTGGATTGAGTGGAAAGAGGTAGTTCAGAGAAGGGGTCTCCAAAGTGATTTGGAAGGGGCCTGAGATGTGATATAATAAATTATACTAATGTAGAAGTAGATGCTTAAAGGCAGAATGATTAGCTTAAACTAACACAATAAATTGGCAATGGTAGGTATGGGAGGGACAGTATAGCCCGATGACCAGGAAATAAGCTTTGGGATCAGATGGACCTGGATTTGAATACCAGCTTCATCATTTACTAGCTGTGAGACTTGAGGTATTACCAATTGTCTCAATGGTCTCATCTGTAAAATGAGGTACATATTATCTGCTGTAAAGGATTGCTGTAAGGATTAAATGATGTAGTGAAGTGCTTGCTTTGTGTCTTGTGCCTGGCATAGAAGGTGCTCAACATTTTAACTACTCATGCTAGAAATGAATCAAAGGCCCCCTGACTCAGTCTAGTGCTTTTTTGGGTCATTCCACACTGACCTCATATTCTCTATATTTAGAGGGCAGGCTGTCTTCCCTGGAACTTTCCTACTGGAGTCACGGAAGACTCACACACACTTGTTGGTAGGCTATGAAATCTCTGGCCTGTGGGAGCTCAAAAAATGCTGCAAGTAGCAGAAGCTAGTTTAACCACTTCTATACACATCTGGTCTACATACCAGTCTGCTTCCTGAGATGGACAAAAAGTTTTTTGTTGAGTAAGTTGCTAAAATGGGTACCTGAAGGGACTCTGTCATATATTTCAAGACATCTTCAGAAATAGGAAAGGCTCCATGCTCTCTATACCCCTCCTACATCCATCTGGAATTGTTTAAATGTGAGTAACAAAATAAAAGGAGGACAGCCAGAGATTACCTAGACACAGACAGTTTAGCAACTTGCTTACTTCCTGGCAAACAAGGACTTGTAACCCATTCATTCTCCTCACTATTGGTTTATTTTTTAAAATTAATTTTTATTTAATGCCAACTATTTTTATTGAGAAAGTAATACATGCACAAGGGAAATAATTCCAAAAGTACACATACTTTAAAATTACCTTTCTCTGACTTCAGGCCCCTTGCTTCCGGTCCCTTTCCTAGCTGTCACTACTGTTAACAGTCTCTGGGGTATCCTTTCAGAAATACTCTATGTATGTAATCTTTTATGTGTAAATAAACATAGAAATGTTTATCCTTTTAATAAAACAAATGAAGACATACTGTATGTATTGTTTCATGTCTTGCTTGTTCACTTAACACTACAATTTGAAAACAGTAGTCTTTTCTATTTCTCTTCAATGATTGCATAATAATCCATGGTAAGGCTATAGTACAAATTATTTAGCCTCAATTTCTAGTTTATTTCTTTTTTTCTTAAAAGGTTTTATTTATTTAATTTTAGACAGAGGAGAAGGGAGTGAAAGAAAGAGAGGGAGAGAAACATCAGTGTGTGGTTGCCTCTCATGTACCGCCTATTGGGGACCTGGCCCACAACCCAGGCATGTGCCCTGACTGGGAATCTAGTTTAGTTCTTACATGACTTTTTTTTTTTTTTCTGGCGTTGATAGCAACACAATTCTCCTAGCTATTCTGCTCCAAACCTCAGAGTAATACCCAAAGTCCTCCTTCCCTGTATCTAATAAATCATGCCAATTCTGCTTTTAAATGTATTTTGTATTTGTGCATTCCTTTTTATTTTTATTGCCACTTCTCTGGTATAGGCCTTAAAAGTTTCTATAGCATTTCTCTGTGAATTTTTTATTTCTTCCCGCCTTGCACACATGCTTTCGATCAAATTTTTTAATGCCAAGCTCCTGATTGTGTTGCTCTTCTTAAAAAACTTCAGTGGTAGCCCTGGCTGGTGTGGCTCAGTGGATTGAGTGCCGGCCTGTGAACCAAAAAACTTCGGTGGATTCCCATTTATTGTGTTGTGTAAAAATTCAAGCACTGATTAATAAATGATTTTTAAATTCTAATCTGGGGACCACAATGTCCAGATGTAGGATGTTTAGTCTGCATTAAAAACAAGTTTCTAGGTACTTCTGTTATAGTTGGTCATTGGATCAGTGGAGCCATTAGAATAAAATACAATTTTCTCAGCCTGGTATTTCTCTCCAAGGTACTTGTCCAGCACCAGCTCTAACTGCTACTTCTGTACATAGTGCAAATAAATGTCGTGCTCACTTTCTGAGATCTCCTCATACCTTCCAGTCACATCTTTTAAACCTCGTGACCCAGTCTTTGAATCCTTTGCACTCACAGGTGATCTCTGGGCTTGAGTCTCTGAACTGGCTTGCAGCCACATTCTGCCTTGTCTCTCAGCTTGGGTTTCTTTAGCCTTCCCTCTCCGCACCCCCACCTTCCCAGCCTGTAAGACAGCTGTCCACAGAAACCTACTTAGCTCTTCCTTGTTATTCGAACCCGAAAAGCATTTTGAGCTTTGCGGCAAGGGTCTTAGACAAGATTTTGTAGGCTTAGTTAGGGCCACTGCTTGACTAGATCACTGTTGCATATGCATTCGTTCCTTGTTCCTGGCTTGAAGTGAGGCTTTTTACACTTACTCGTGGATTTAATGAATATATGAGCGGAATCTTGCCCAGCATCTCCCAGAGAACTACGAATCCCAGAGGGTATGGCGTGGAACGACGGCGGACGCAGTGACGCAAGGGGGCGTGCCGAGTCCGAGGGAGGGGTCGTCTTGCGGGTGGCTGGAGGCTGGGGAGGCTCTGGAACCTGGGGTGGGAGTGGGAGCGTGAGGTGAGCGGAGCAGCTGAAGGAGGGGACAGGCTGCCGGGCGCCCCAGTCTATGGAGCGGAGTAAGATGGCGGAGGCGGAGAGCCTGGAGACAGCAGCGGAGCACGAGCGGATCCTGCGAGAAATCGAGAGCACCGACACGGCCTGCATCGGGCCCACGCTCAGGTATCCCGGGTGCCGGGGCTACCCACGGGAGGGCACGAGCGGGGCAGGGGGGCCGGCTCCCTCGGGGCCGTGCGTCAGGCCAGCCGCCCGCACGGCCAGCGCGGGCCCCTCCCTTGGAGAGCCGGGCGAGCGACCTCCACCCTAGACGAGGCGGGTCTCCCTCCGCAGCCCCGACGTGGGGTCCTTTCCCGATCGCCGCCCTCCACAGCCCAGTCACCCTGAAGGCAGCTCCTGCTTCCCTCCGGGCTGGGGCAGCTTTCGTTCTTCCTCCGAGGCTAGCCCTGCGCCCGGCAGCTAGAGCGCACCGGACAGATGGTGGTTTTTATCAGATCTTTCCCTGAGGACATCACCCTTCTCCCTCCGACTCCAGCCCCGTCCTGCCCTAAACATAAGCCCTGCTCTTCAGGCAGCATAGAATTTCCCCCGTGTCGTGTTGCTCGGAAATTAAACTCTTGCCTCCTTAAAATCACAACCACTTCTCAGAAATGAGTTCCTGGAAATCCTAGGCCTGGAAGGAAGTTTCCCTCAACCCGTGTCCCTCTCCTGGGAGCGGGTGCTCCCGTAACCCAGGAGGACGACCTCTCCCAAAGGTGCAGCTTTATGGTAGTCTAATTGCCCAGGGCAAGTTATCTCCCTCTCGCCCCTTTTACCATAATTTTGCCCCGACACCTACATTGATTTGGAGATGTCAAAAGATACCCCCACCTACTTCAATTTACTTAACAAAACTTAGGTATCGTTTACTATGTAGTGCAAGACATTGTATCAAGCAATTTACAAATGTAACTTATTCAAACCGCAAAACAATCCTGTTAAGTACTATTCGTTTTTCACCTGAGGCACACAAAGATTAAGTTGCCCGAAGTTACTGAGAAAATAAAGTGGGGGAGATGAGGTTCCTCCTCTGGCAGTCTGGATCCAGAGTCTGTATTCTTCACCTCTGCCGTTCTGCCTCAACTGGGGATTACCATCCACCTGCACTGGTTGTTAATTGCTTACAAAGCCCGATTCCGAACTACCTTTCCCTTTCCTCTCAGTTTACTAGTGCCCTAGAACTCACTCATCTTCATCCTTCCTCTGGTACCTTCTGATCTCCATGTAGCGAACAGATAATTAATTGTCTTACCCACCGTGTACAGTCTTGGTGGCTGCTTCTCTCTTCAAAAAAGAGTTACCTGTATTACTCACTGCTTGTTTTTTCATGGGGAGAGTTGCCTCATGAAAGAGTGAAGGAGGGACAAGCTGAAGGCTTTACTCCACACCTCCACCGGCACAGCTTCCTTCTCCAGGACACATTGTTAGCACAGGTCTCCAAGTGCTATATCCTTGAACATGACAAAGCTTCGCAGTTTGCTAGTCCCTTACTGCCTTATGATCGTGACCATAATGCTCTTCTCTTTATCCATTGTTCTGAGCTTTTTAGTGTAAATGATTCTCATTCATTGTCTTTTATGAAAAACAGGGCTACTTACTAGTATTATGAGTACATTAATAGTTACTAATATTTAGTATTCATAAAACAAGATGTTATTAGTTACTGAGCATGCTGTTTCAGTATTTTACTAAGAAATTTGGCTGCTGAGCTGCAGTTGGCAAGCAAGCAAAGTTCCCACTGGAGCAGTTAGGATTACCAGAGTTTTTAGGAGAAATTCTTTCTCAGACGCCATCATTGTTGTCTTGAGTTAGTTGGCTGTGGTTTTCCATTGCTGTAGTTCTTGGCTTATATGATAAATGACTTTAACTTGGTGCTATCAGTTTAGTTTGTTGTGATTTAGTATGTTAACCTTCCACTGAATAGTAATGCATATTTATAGCAACTGAATTTTGCCCTGTAATTTTCAAGTATCTTGACATAGGAATACGTGCATTATGGTTTGAATACAAGTTACTCATTCTTCCTAAAATTTGCTTCACTGTTGTCACGGAGTTCTCCTGAGTTCTTTTCTCACTGAAAAGTGGGATTTTATGGGGGTAGTTTAATTAAGGATCTTTTGCAGTAAATGGACATGGTAAAAAAAAAAAAAAAAAAAAAGGTAGGTTTGAGAACCCCTGTACTTTCCTATCAGTTCTAGTTGCCTTTCCTCATTCCCTGTACTTTCGGCAGAGAACCCTAAACCTTACTATCCGGCCCAAGATCAAATTACTTGAACATTCTAAAATACAAGTAGTAACCACTGTCTTTGTCTTTGGTCTAGCTTGTCCCTGCCCATATCCATAGCCGATGATCTCACCTTTTTTTTTTTTTTTTTTTTTAAATCCCATTCAGAGACAGCAGCATGCACAGACTTGATGTGTTAGATCCCATGCTTTACCCTGGATGTACTTCCATTATCATAATATCCTGTTTTTCCATCACAGTCATTAACCAGATTTGATTAAAGCAGTAGGCTCTCTTCCCTAACTTTACCCTTGTCTAAATCTCAAATTCTTCTATCCCCCTTCATAGTCTTTCCTCTTTATTCTACCTTTTGAGGCAGCATTTTTAAGAAAGCCAATTCTTAGCTGTTCCCGAGTTAGGTTTTATAACTGAAGAGGAATGCAAGAACAGAGAGTAACAGTAAATTGATAGCAGATATAAGATTAGTATGTCATCCCTAAAATTTTTACTCTTCACAAAAATCTACCTGGCTACATTTGCTTAACCAGACTTTTTCCTTTGCCAACTATTACTTGTGAATCATTACTTTCTTTCTTTCCCTGGTGTACCAAGTTATTCTTCTAGTCTTGTTCCTTTTCGTTTGAGGAGCCACAGTGGCTTGAATTTTTCACTATATAACTGTCCTTATTTTAATTATGGACAGTCATGTAATGTTAGTCAATTCCCACATATCATAAGGGAGTGCTTTCCCTTTTTCACTGTAATTTTGAAAGGCACAAGCATATCACGTATATAGAGGCTGTTGCCTAGCAAATTCTTTTGGGAAGCAGCCATTTCTTTCTTTGCCTTAAAAATTATTTTGTTAGTTGCAAGTCTTGATTTTGCAGATTTGGAAAGAGACCCATATGATATTAGGGGCTGTCTTGTTTTTAAAGTATTAATATTGATTCCAGCTTTGTAGCCCTGATGCCAAAATACAGATTGCAAATCATTGATGCACAATAGCTCCATATTTTCAGTTTTCAAATTCCCTCTCTATCTCTAGTTTTCTCTCATATCACTTACTCAGTAGGTCATTTCCTCTATTTCTCTCGATACTAGCAGGTAACATTCATTTTTAATTGCTGTTTCAGATTTTGTTTTTAAACTTAAAAAATAAATTTATTGAAGTAACATTGGTTAATAACATGATATAAATTTCAGATGTACAACATTATAATTTGATATCTGAACCATATTGTATGCTTATCAGCCAAAGTCTAGTTTCCTTTCATTATCATATAAACTGTTTAATTCAACACTGAAATATAGTACCTTTAAAAGTAGCTTTATTGAGATACAGTTCATATACCATGTAGTTCACCCATTTGAAGTGTACAATTCAGTGGTTTTTAGTGTATTCACAGTTGTGCAAAATAACCATAATGTAATTCTGGAACATTTCCATCACTCCAAGAAGAAACGCCGTACCCGTTGACAGTCACTTTTCATTCTGTGTCTGTCCCCTTCCTCCCCAGGCAGTCGCTGTACTTTCTGTGTTCATGGGTTTGCATATTCTGGACATTTCATAGAAATAGAATCATACAGATCATACAGTGTGTGTTCTTTGTGACCAAGCATAATATTTTCAGGGTTCATTTGTGTGGTAGATTGTATCAATACTTCATTTCCTTTCATTGCTGAATAAGTATTCCATTGTATGGATGTAGCACATTTCATTTATTCATCAGGTGATGGACGTTTGGGTTGTTTCCATTTTGGACCTGTTATGAACTATGCTATGAATAATTTGTGTGCTGGCTTTTTTTGTGGGCATATGTTTTCATTTCTCTGGTTTGTATACCGAGGAGTGGAATTTCTAGGTCATATGGTAACTCTGTGTTTCACATTTTGGGAAACTGTCAAATTGTTTTTCAAAATGTCGGTACCATTTTACATTCTAACCAGCAGTGTATGAAGGTTCCAGTTTCCTCATATGCTTGTCAACAGCTGTTATTATCTTTTTTATTTGAGCCATTCTAGAGGTGATGTTGCATTTCACTGTAGCTTTGGTTTGCATTTCCCTAGTGGCTAAACCTTTCATGTGATTTTTGGAGAAATGTCTATTCAGATCCTTGGCTCAGTTTTTGATTGGGTTATTTGTCTTTTTATTGTTGAGTTGTGAGTGTTCTTTATATGTTCAGTCTCTCACCAAATATGTTATTTGCAAATACTTTTTTCTATTGTGTGAGTTGTCTTTTGTCTTTCGTCTTTTGTTTTTCTTTTACTTTTGTATTTTAATTTTTAATTATATTTTATTGATTACGCTATTGCAGTTGTCTATATTTCCCCTTTTGCCCCTTCTACTCAGCACCCCTCACTCCCTCAGGCAATCCCCACACCTTTGTTCATGTCCATGGGTCTTGCATATAAGTTCTTTGGCCACTCTCTTTCCTATACTGTACTTTACATCCCCTATACTGTAATTTCCATTTCCTATACTGTAATTTACATGACTATTCTGTAACTACCAGTTTGTACTTCGTAATGCCCTCACCTTTTCACCCATTTCCCTAAACCCCCCTCCCACCTGGCAACCATCACAATGCTCTCTGTAACCATTGTTCTGTCTCTGTTCTCCTTGTTTGCTTTTTTAAAAAATTTTATTTTATTTATTTATTTTTAGAGAGGGGGAGGGGAGGAAGAAAGAGAGGGAGAGAAACATCAATGTGTGAGAGACATATCAATCAACTGCCTTTTGCATGCCCCCAACCGGGGATCTGGCCTGCAATGCAGGCATGTGCCTTGACCGGAAACCCAGCTGGTAACCTTCTGGTTTGCAGGCCGGTGCTCAATCTACTGAGCCACACAAGCCAGGGCACTTAGTTTGTTTTTTAGATTCAGTTGTTGATAGACATGTATT